ATGGCGGGGGGTGGGGGGGGGGATGGGGGGTGGTCACATGTAATAAAACGACAGCCAATCAGGAAGCGAGCTGTCTGAAGAAGGAAAACAACCGCAAACGTTTTTTCTGAACACCAGCTCGCTCTGATCATGCCGTCTGCACGACTTCGCCAACAGACTCAATGAGACGTCCAGACTCCGGACTCTGAATGAATCTGTTGATGTGTTGGACTGTTTGTGTCACATCGTTCTACCAACAACGATGAGGTCACACCGCGGTACGTGTTGGGCTGTAGGCGCCCTCTTCTGAGGAGCGTGCGTGTTTCACCACAGATTTAATGGTATGAAACAAACTCTCTTAAACTGTCAGAATCAACGTCAGGGGCAGAACGCACCTTTCTTCACCTTTTCTCTGTTTGGGGCTGAAATCCAGTTTTTTTGGTGACGACTCGTTTTCATTTAGTTTCTTCTTCAAAGTCAGACATGGAAGTAAACAAAGGTAGTAAACATGTCTGTGTCATGATGTCACCTTTATTTGACCTCATTATTTGACCTCATTGTTTGACTTCTTTACTCGGCCTCATTAATTGACCTAATTATTTGACTACTGACATTATTGACGACTCGTTTTCATTTAGTTTCTTCTTTAAAGTCAGACATGGAAGTAAACAAATGTAGTAAACATGTCTGTGTCACTATGTCACCTTTATTTGACCTCATTATTTGACCTCATTGTTTGACCTCTTTATTTGACCTCTTTATTTGACTTCATGATTTAACTTCTTTACTTGACTTCTTTATTTGACCAATTTATTTGAACTCTTTAATTGACCTCTTTATTTGACCTCTTTATTTGACTTCTTTATTTGACCTCATTATTTGGCCTCTTTAATCGACCTCTTTATTTGACCTCATTATTTAACTTCATTATTTGACCTTATTATTTGACCTCATTAATTGGCCTCTTTATTTGACCTCATTAATTGACCTCTTTATTTGACCTCATTGACAGACCTCTTTATTTGACCTCTTTTTTTAAACTTCTTTATTTTACCTCATGATTTGACCTCATGATTTGACCTCTTTATTTGACCTCATTAATTGACCTCTCTCACGCTCTCTCAGGCCGGACAGCGGGTTGGAAAATGCTCGGAGGATTCTCTCACAGCTGAATCTGAAGTGGAACGAGGTCGACGCCCACGTGGTTCGCTTGGTCTGCGACACCGTCTCCTCTCGCTCCGCCCGTCTCTGCGCCGCCGCCCTGGCTGCCATCGCCAACCACATGAGGGTGAGCCGCAAGCTGGACCGTCTGAAGACCACGGTGGGGGTGGACGGGACGGTGTACAGGAAGCATCCAAAGTAAGAGCCAATCAGACGGAGGCAAAGTGATTCACAAAGTTAGAAGTCAAAATGTTTTATTTCACGTGAATACGTCAAAGGTAAAATCACACGGGGACGCATGGCGTTAGCAGTGAGGACGAATATCTATGGTGAGCCTGAAGGGACAAACATGAGATTAATGGTGCTGAGTGGAAACACGAAACCAGCCTCTAAAGGTGTCGCTGACGACTCCGAGGTTTGGAGATGGCGTTCAGCCGATGAATCAGCTGTTGTGTCCGTGAAACAGGAAGTAAAGAGAAAACAATCACAGACGTGTTCTCGGTGTTTTTAAACATGAAAACAAATCTTTTATTATTTAGTGGAAACTTCCACTTCTTCTTCTTCTTCTGTGTTTCTGTCCCTCAGGCAGCAGGGGGCGCTCTGTGTTGACTCACTTCCTGTCTGTGTGCTTCCTCTTCACTTCTCTGCAGAGGATGTTTAAACTCACCGTCCATATTTATACGAGATGATACTCTGCTCTGATTATCCTCCCTCACCTCATATTTCTCTCCTCCTCTTCAGTTTCAGCGAGGAGCTTCAGGAGACGGTGCGCCTCCTCGCCCCCAAGTGTGACATCACCTTCCTCGTCTCCGAGGACGGCAGCGGGAAGGGCGCTGCCATGGTAACGGCTGTGGCACAGCGGCTGGCTCTCCAGTCGCGGCTGTTGGAGGACAGTGACGGCGAGGGAGACGATGAGGACGAGGAGGAGGAAGAGGAAGAGGAAGAGGAAGAGGACGTTTAACAGCAGAGAGAAGATAACTGTCTGATTTTAATTCTGAAATATTTTAATACAAATTTTTCTTCTCAAACGTGTCGGGTCCTTTCAGGTGTACAGCTCATCTCTCACGCCGCAGCTTGTCTCTCACGCCGCAGCTCATCTCTCGTCTCTCACGCCGCAGCTCATCTCTCGTCTCTCACGCCGCAGCTCTTCGGGTTTTACTTTGGTTTCATGAAGCAGAGATTGCTTGTTTTGTTTATAGAGAACAAAGTGATGTTGGTTTCCAGAACTGCTTCTGCAGATGACCTTCAGGGCCACCGTTGAAAAGTTGTCCCTGTTTTTTTCCTCAAACATTAAAAGATCTTAGTTTTATTTTGAGTTTTTTATCAAAGGAGTGGAAACGTGGGAGGATCCCACAGGTCACACGTGAGGCGATGCAGCGGCGTCGGGACCTGCAGACGTTTTTATTTCACTCGTTCACAACAAGGAGGCGTGTTTATAATCTTTCAAACATGATGAACAGAGCTTTAATCTCATGAAACACTTTTATAGGAGAGGGGTCAAAGTTCAGCTTCAAAGTTTGAGTGTGACGTCCATATCTTTATTTGTTTTTATATCGTTTCTTAAAATGTCTTTATTCTTATTATTTAAATGTTTGTATTCGCTGCTCTGTCCGTCACGCTCATGTCAATAAAGTTTATGATTCATATTTGAATGACCCTTGACCTCCCTCATCGACAGTTTCTGCCGAGTAAATTTAGAGAGTTCACCTGACGCCCAGCGACCACCATCGTGCTGTGATGTCATCACAACCACCGCCTGACGCCCAGCGACCACCGTCATGCTGTGATGTCATCACAACCACCGCCTGACGCCCAGCGACCACCATCTTGATCTGAAATTTAAATCTTGTGTTGTGTTGCTGTTCTCCTTTAGATGATTTTACTTGTTTACAGTAATATTTATAATGAGTTTATATTTATAACCCAGGAAATCAAAAGGATCTGATCTGAGTCCTGCTGGAGCTGCACACAATGTGCTTCCTCCCCCTGCTGGACACAGCTGGGAACTGCAGCCTGAGAGAGAGAGAGAGAGAGAGAGAGAGAGAGAGAGAGAGAGAGAGCGAGAGAGAGAGAGAGAGAGAGAGAGAGAGAGAGAGAGATTCAAAAACGCCCCAGATGTCATGAAAACAAACACAAATTCCCCATAAATAGTCATGTCATTGAACACAGCACGAGTTATTCCTCTAACAGCTTCAGAGTTTCAACATGGCAGTGAGGGAGAAACTCAAAGAACTCTAAATGCAATTAGTTGAAACTTCTATAATTTCCAAATCTCAATTAAAATCTGTCTTAAAATATTTGATAGTGTCATCCAGCCCATAGCGCCGTACGGAGGTGAAGCATGGCGTCCACTCAGTCATCAGAGCGTCACAAGACGAACATCCAACAGAATCTTTACACAGAATGTGTGTGTGTGCGAGTGTGTGTGCGAGTGTGTGTGTGTGTGTGCGTGTGTGTGTGCGAGTGTGTGTGCGAATGTGTGTGTGTGTGTGTGTGTGTGTGTGTGTGTGTGTGCGAGTGTGTGTGCGAATGTGTGTGTGTGTGCGTGTGTGTGTGCGAGTGTGTGTGCGAATGTGTGTGAGTATGTGTGTGTGCGTGTGTGTGCGAGTGTGTGTGCGAGTGTGTGTGCGAGTGTGTGTGTGTGTGTGTGTGTGTGCGTGTGTGTGTGCGAGTGTGTGTGCGAGTGTGTGTGTGTGTGTGTGTGTGTGTGTGTGTGTGCGAGTGTGTGTGTGTGTGTGTGTGTGTGTGTGTGTGTGTGTGTGTGCGAGTGTGTGTGCGAGTGTGTGTGTGTGTGTGTGTGTGTGTGTGTGCGTGTGTGTGCGAGTGTGTGTGTGTGTGTGTGTGTGTGTGTGTGTGTGTGCGTGCGCGAGTGTGTGTGTGTGTGCGAGTGTGTGTGTGTGTGTGTGTGCGTGCGTGCGCGAGTGTGTGTGTGCTCATGCTCACATTTCTCGGTTGGTGGGGTCATACCACCGGTAGCCCACCAACAGTATGAGGCCATGAATTCTTGTGGGGCCAAAATGTTGGGCCCCATACCATTTATTGCTTTAAAGTAGCTCAGGAGGCTTCACTGATACTCCTCATGCTTTGTTTTGAGTTGGCCCAAAAGGTAACAAAAATTGGAAAAGTGGGTGTGCGCCATGAGTCGATCGTGGATCGACTATGCCACTGCAGCAGGATACACACTTCCAGAAGTGTGTGTGGTATTAGCCAATGAGATGCCTTGAACATCAAGTGTCATAGTCTCGCAGGATTTTACAGGATTTTGATAGTGAGCTGAAGCACAAAACGGAGCAATGCCCAGTACCAACTGAAGAACTTTGCACGTTAATAAGGTACATTTACTTCAAGTTTTCTTTTTTTTTTAACTAACATTCTTTTGACTGTATGGAGTTTTGTGCAACTACAAGAAACGATTTTCTTTAAAAAAATATATAAAAAGTACAATTCGATACAGATTGCTAATTTCAGCTGTAGATCACTGACTGCTAATCGCTAGCTTCAGGCTTTTAGTTTTTATTTTATTTTCATATAAACTTCATTAACATTTTACAATTTATTACATAAAACACAAGAATATGGGAGTACAGCAAGCTTTGTTCCCTGAGATACAACTATGTGAGACCGTTTGTTTGCTTCTGTTAGCTAACGCTAGTTAGCTGCTAACCAATAGCTTTGGAGACTGCGATGCTTTCACTTGCACACAGCCTTCCAGTTTAGTTTATGACAATGCAGTGCACCCTCCTTTGAAATGTGGTCATAATTCAATATAATTGGTGTTTTGATGTAATTAGGGGTAAATATGGTCCATTTGGTACATGGATTAAAACATGAATGATAGTCGGACGGATATTGTCACCTTACATTACATCATCATTTCATATTGAACTCCTTGATGGGATATACTTTCAGTTATTTTGACTGCTATTACATTTAAAAACGTATCAATAAGATGGATCTACTTTCTGTGTATCACTACTCTTCCTCATGCTCTGAGCAGGGGTGTGCTTCCTGTGCGCAGCCGAGCACATGGCTAATCAAGCCTGTGAATATTCATGAGATACCCGAGTGACAACAACACGGTGGATTGTAATACCTACAGTGTGGAGTTTCAACGTGGTGTCTAACGTTAACAGACGTCTGGTGAGCTTTTTGATAAATGTGTTGTTGCCGTTTCTGTGGAGAAACTCATCTCGTACTTTACTACGAAAGTGCTGATATATGGAAGACGTTGATGTGCTACCTGTAGCCTGCTGGTAGCCTACAGGTAGCCTACAGGTAGCCTACAGGTAGCCTGCAGGTAGTCTGCAGGTAGCCTACAGGTAGCCTACAGGTAGCCTGGCTTAAATACAACACAATTAAAACATAAAAGCTGCCTTGACGTGAAGAGTGCTGGGCCGCTGCGACTGACTGCGCCGCCATCTTGCTAGTGATTTCATGATCTATGTGGAGGAGTCACAGTAGTTGAAGCATGAATCCAAAATTGCGATACTCGTATCACATGCTATGTTCTCATAACTGTGAAAATTAAAAAATAAAATAAGGTGCGATCCGACTCTGATAACTTTTCAACAAATATCAGAAACCTTCGAACATAAATATGTCTAATTAATGAGCAGTCTGTTTTCTCATGTAGCTGTGTAATGATATAAAAATATTTTCACAGAGCCATGATGTCCAAAAGGAAGTCCAGGATGAAGCCTGTCGAAGATGTAAAGTCGTACATTCTGTCTTCGAGAGACAAGCCATGGTTTGCAGAAAGATTTATCAACAATATCAAAGGTATGACCTCAAGCCCTTTTGGTAGCTGCAAATTACAGCATTGCATTTCTAAATACTATTCATTAACACACACATTTGGAATGAAGAAATATTTCGGCTACTTGTCAGAAGATATTTTACAGAAAAAAACTGGCTTCAATCTGCTGTTTTGTTAAAATCCAATGCGTTTAGGTATAGGCATGTCTTAATAAGCCTGAATTCTATCAGAGAAGTTTCATGTACACACTGGTGAAATCAAATATAGTCAGTTATTTATTTTATTTCTGCTGTACTTACTGTATAGTGTCCAGCACATTCAAATACCACTAAGGTAGGTGCTAGACCAATAGAAGACAGTAATGAAAACATGAAAGGACTGAAATCTGTGCAACTGTCAGGCATCTTCAGAAGTGACATTTTAAGTTAATGCGTAGAATTAGTTTCACAAACAGAGAACCGAAATACAGGCTCGTGGGTCACGTGGTTAACACATGATGGTCCCTGTTAAACAGAAACCCCATATATTTAAAAGTCATGTCACAAACAAAACATTTTTAGAAAGACACATATGATACACAACTGTACAGAGAAGATCCTCAAGGAACAAAAATACATCATTAGACCAGTGACCATCATGCATTCAATTTGGCTAATTACTAGATAAAGTCATCTCTTTATTTAAGATGGTATGTTTCCAGAGCATTTAGGAAATGAAATCCAGCTCACAGATATTCCCAAAGGAGGGAGACGACATATTGATTTGGGTTAATTCTGTTTCCTTGTAGGAAGAGGAGTGTTTGCTACACAACCAATCGAGCAAGGTTCTTTTGTGTTGGAGTACAGGGGGGAATTCATATCAGTGGAAGAATGCCGATCAAGGCACTACTCAGAGATACAGAGTACATTCCTGTATGAATTTGATTGGCAGAAACGCAAGTGGTGGTAAGTATATGAGATGTATTTTTAGTAGCAATTACGGTTTTCTTGTTTAGACCTGAAACGTGTTTAAATATTTCATGAATTAACAAGTAAAATGTTAGACTTAATGTGCTCTATATCTTAAGTGGCTCTTCAAATCAAACTGTGAAGAGACACTTTATAAAAGTTGATATTTGAGTAGCACTAAGTTTGATGTATTGTTTTTGTTTATCTTTTAGTATTGATGCATCCAAAGAAGATGGTTCCCTTGGAAGATTAGTGAATGACAACCACAAATCTCCAAACTGCATCATGAAAAAAGTTGTAGTGAACAACAGGCCACATTTGTGTCTGTTTGCTGTAAAGAACATAGAAATAGGAACTGAACTCGATTACAACTATGGTGATTCAAAATGGCCATGGCGTAAAAAGGTGAGCTTGTTAGGTTATGCATTGGTCACCCTACATGATTTTTAAAGTTGTTAAGTTCACTTCACATAACGTGTCTCGTAATTGAGAATCTTTGAGTCATAGTCTTAGTCATAGACCAGTGTCCAAAGTATTTTTTTCTAAGAAAAACAGTGACATGGGAAGTGCCTAAAACTGGCTAATGGCTGTATTTGAAGACTATAAGATCTTATAGTACATTTGTGGGCAATCCTCATTAAACATCTTGGGTATGCAGATCATTCCTTTAGCAACTGCTGCATCACGCTTTCATTCTAATCAATGAAACTGTCTACACAAGGCTGAAACCAGCGCTTAATAAGTGGTGTGTTGGTGCTAAAGAGATCTGCTTTACGAACGTAAAAATAGGCCAGTCTGTCCATTTTTACATGAGTTTTTACATGGGTGATATGATGACATGATGACAAATGGATCATAAAGTCATGTCTCATTTTTATTAATTCTACGCTGTAAGCAAGAAGGCTTCTGCTGTGGCAGTAGAAGCAAACACCTTCCCTACAGTGCTGACGTCCCATG